GATCGTTGACGCTGATCGGAGCTTCGGATCCAATCCCTTACTTGTGTAGAACGGGATACTCCTAGCATCGTCCTTTCGATTTTGCGTTCGATAACGCTGAGTGACCTTCCATCCTGATTACGCAACGACAAGGTTTCTGACGCATACGTTAGAGCAGGCAGTACCGCTGAGTCGAAAAGGTAGGCACGGAGTCGGGTTTTTTTTGTCCTCTTCACTACATCCTCGATGCTCTTGAAAGCTCCCCAAGCCGCTCATTTTCTTCTGCTCAGCTCTGGAGCTAGGTCGTTCGCCATATTTATTTCCCGACCTGCATAGATATAACTGGAGCAATCAGAGATATTCGTTCCGTTGAGCGTAAATGGGGGCGTGCAAAACCAATCCGTTCCTCATGAACATCTTTTTTGTGAGATATAGTCGAAGACCAATCTTTCTACAGGCTTTATCAAAGTCGTCAAGCATACGTCATACGTTCCGCTTGGCTAATGTTTGGTGTTATAAGGACGATGTCATCAGCAAAGCGAAGATGGTGTAACTGCCGATCGTCGATTTTCACTCCCATATTAACCCATCCCAATGGTCACATGACGTTCTGGAGGGTTGCGGTAAATAATTTCGGCGAGATGGTATCGCCTTACCTAACTCCTCTTTTGATCGTTGTAGAATAGTGATATCTTGGTTGTGAAATTTTTGTAGAGCTCGGAAGAAACTCCTTGACTGTCAAGGGCTTCCAAGACTGCTTCTATTTCAACTGAATCAAAGGCCTTCTCTAAATCGATGAAAGTGAGACACAGCGGTCTTTTGTACTCTCGCGATGCTTCAATGAGCCGTGTTACCGTGTGGATTTGGTCCATCGTGCTAAATCCTTTTCGAAACCCTGCTTGCTCACATGGCTGTCCTTTCCACTGAGTAAGGACCTTGTATCCAGACAGGTAACGTGTGAAAAGGCGAGCCAGTGACGTGGACTGGCAGAAGGTTCTTCAGGTGTTCGGATCTTATCCTGTCCGGACCTGGCGATTTTTCACCGACGAAATGGCATGTCGGGTTTCTGTCGGCAAAGCTTCGGCGGGCTTTGCGAATGCTCTTCCCAGCCTCTGCAGCTTCGGCCATTACTGCCGTTCTTCTCTAAGATCTTGTTTTATCTCCTGTCTGCATTGTTTGCAAGCTCGAACGTTAGTTCGCGGCTACCTGTAGCTCGAGCGATTCCACGCTAACGTATCAGCTCGCTTCTGGAGACAGACGTCCCTTGGTGACTTTCGAAGTCTGAGCTTTCATAGCGCTAATGCGAAGATGTTGAATAAGCCGATCGTGTTCTTCGTCGATGTTATCGACAACGACATCTTCCCAACAGCCGACTAATGAATTGAATAAATCCCAGTTTACGCTGGTTCTGGGACTTCGGTTTTAGAATTTAGCGGCTTTTTCTCCTTTCCGCGACAAATGGAATCTTGCACGAAAGAGACGATGTTCTGATCCCGTGTACAATTTTGGTACAACAGCGGCATCGGCTAGGCAAAACCTTCTATGTACTTTGATGTGGTTTATTTCGTTATGGTATTCTCCATTGGGGGACTCCCACGTCCAGCGCTGAGGGTGGGGCTTCTGGAACTGCGAGTTACCATGGATGGTCTTGGTCACCATGATAAACTCAGATAGCCGCTCACCCTACACGTTCACTTCCAGATTGTAGGTCCCAATGTGACATTTTTCAGACCTTCTTGGTCTGATCTTGACGATAAAGTCTCCAATGATGACCTTGAAGTTCTTTGAAATCCAAGCAGCTTCCACTGGCCCTGAAATTTTAGCAGCCTCTCGGTACTCGTCCTACCCAACGCTGCGAAATTAGGAGCTCTTTCAGGGTCGGGGGATTGAGGCTCGTTTTTTTTTTTTACTGCGTTTAGCGTTTTTGATATCCACGTATAGCTTGCTGCGCTCTGTACGTGGGATCTGGGTATACCCACGTATAGCTTGCCAGGCTCTCCCAGAGTGGATATGGAGCTTATTTGTTGGAGGCGACTCCCAACTGCTACTTCCCTGTCACTTGATTGCAGGCTTTTGGCAGAATTGACTCCTAGAATACAATCCGCATAAGCAATAACGCACCCACACACGCGTGCATGAATACGCCTGGCAAATACAGAAAGTATGTGCCAAATCAGCGCAGCAGAAACAGGGGGTTTATCCCCTCGATCCACCTGCGTCTCAGGGAAGCAAAGGTCGCTTTTGGTCCGCGACTAACCGCCTATCCGCCACCTGGGGACGCGCCACGTAGCCTCGCGACTAACCGGCTCGAGATCCCTCATATGAGGGAGATTCATGGACAGAAAGCCTACAGCCCCGAATTATAGCAAATAATTTATTGTGTATTTAAAATCGGCCTGCTGAATCTTCCCGAATCGCTTGACCGACTAATCATGGGAGTTGCTCGCATTTCTAGAAGAACGGCGGTCGCAAGGTACAAATCCACCCACAAGCGCTTTGGTCTCTCTATGTAACGACGAGGGAATGGTACCCCAGTAAGAAAATTATTTAAATGTATGTCTTTTTTCATTTACGCCTAAATAAAGATAGAAATGAGACGCAGGATGTACAGCGGATAAAGATGTCATTTAATTGAGGCATGTTCACCGCTCGGGACTTGTTCTCTCAGCCGAGTAGGTCTTTCACCTACCTGAAGTGGGTAAACTGTCACTGGACTTGTCAAGTGAAAATTCTTTCCGATAAACACAGCGGGATCGTTGCCGGTGATGAGCATTTAGGAACAAATCGGCTGGGATATTCTCGATAGATTAAGAGAACTAGCACTGAACAACATTTATGAAGGAGATAAAGTCTTCAGGTAACGACCGAGCTCACAACAAATTAAATAAATGCAAAAATAAATATAATCGCATTGCAAAAACTGACTTTTGTTTATACACGGCATAACGGATCAATACATATCTTTAACCAAGACTTCAACTGATAAACTAGGAAGAGGTTGACAAAAAGCTTTATTCGGCTATATAAATGTGTTCTCTATACAAATATGGCTATGGCAACTATTCCCCAAATAGTTCCTATCTTCTATATTAGCGACCACCTCATACAATTTCCTCGGAACTGGCTGAAAGGGATTCTGTCACCTCCGTGCATAAACCGTTCTTCTTTGTTCCACAGTTCAGGCACTGAATGAGCAGCTGTCGGTTGCGCGTACTTTCCAGCATCTGCCGTTCCAATGAACTTTTCGTACGAGCAGCTGCGCATTTCCACATGTACTCTCTGTACAAGCTATTGTATAGACTTCACGAACCCTCTATGGATGTAATTCTATAAGATTGCATTAGCTGAGAAACTTTTGAACTCCTCTCTAAGCGATGTCTCTAGTTCTCTCTGTCAAACCTTCACGCATCACACAAATATTATAGGCAGCACAGCGGTTAGCTGTCAGTGTTCGTCCAGCTCGTCCAACCGGTTCAATTTGTTCAACCAGTGCCCTTCTAACCCGCCTATTACACCTTTCTTCGCTATTACTCTACTGTTATTATTGTTACTACAAGCATAAAATTTACAGAAGATTAGCACACACACCCCACACACACACACATACACACATATACACACACACAACACATACACACACACATACACATATACATACACCCACACATACACACATATACGCACACATACACACACACAATACATACACACACACATACACACAAAATACCGGCGTGACCCCTACAAAAACTAATATTCCCAATACTTGGTGTTCATATAAAGTTGTTAACGTCACAACAACAGCAGTAACAATGTTCATAAACTCATCGTGGTTAACTGGAATTCATGAGCGCCGAGACATGGGGTTTGCAGAGCACGAGATTCATACGCTCAGTATGGCGACCTAGTCTGAAGAAGAGTTCGAAGTTCCCAACACTGGGGAAGGCTTGAGTACAATTCAGAATGTCCACCGTGAAACTTCACGAAGAAATCGCCCGATTAAATCACGCTGTGCTCACATACCTCGCAAAGACGTAAGTACTTCTTCTTAGCACTTATCGAAAGCGAAATACTTCAATACTGGTATCAATTCATGGATTGTTTGAAAGGACTTCCTGACATTTCAGTAGAATGCTCTGAGTCAGATAACATTCCGTGTTATAACGATGCTCACTTCCAAATAACAAGCACCCCATCCAACGCGAAGAGGATCCCTACCTACGGCGAGCGTTGTTCCCTGTGTGACCACTGCCACTGCCATCATTACCGGTCGTTGTTATTACTGTGTATACTTGTACAATGCCGTTTTCTTTGGCCTCATGTGTTTTTAGCATACGTGTAGTTATCAGGACGGCTGATTCACATAGTTATACACATATTTTATCAAAAACCATAGAGTTAATTAAATAGCATCACCTTCACCATGGGACAGATGCGGATACTAAGGAAGACTAGTGTAGCGCAGTGTTCGGAGACGCCCTGCAATACAGATGGGATCGATCCCCACGCTCCAGGCTCACCAAGCCTTCCAGAGTCGGCAAATCCGCACCACACATGTCTAGGAGGATAGCAGCAGAGGCCCGATACTCCGGCAGACCACCGCAAGTCACCATAAATGCCAGATATGCATTCAATTGCCGTCAACGATGTTTGATGAAGTCGAATGCATGATGCATCTCCCAGAGATTGATCAACGCCGACAGCTTTGTCCTTTCAGCTTTTTCTTCTCGTCACAACGGCAGAGTACCTACAGACCCTCTCCCGACATTCCAAAGTCCATGTAATGCCCAAGAAAACACCAAAACTATTCTTCTCCGATCTCACTAAACATTCAAACCCAACGGATATGGCTCTTAACGTTTTCTGAACCTCACACATGGCATCCCAAACGCCTTTATTTCATGACCATTACTGGTTAATCTCAAGGTGTCTAGGAAATAGCAACGTGTCAAGGAATTATATATCATACATACAACAATATTTGCAAGAGATCAATGGCACACTTATCGTAGAGCATACAACTATGCCTTAGCCGGTGAAGCCTTCTTCGTTTTTTTCGGCGATTTTGGCTTAACAGCAACCTTCTTCATTGCCACCTTCTGTGGAGACTTGGCAGATTTAGCCTTCGGCTTGACGGCTTTCTTAGGCGAACTTGATGACTTCTCTTTCTTCGCTTTCTTGTTCTAAAACAAGCAAACACATTGGCAAAGGAAGTGCACAAATTACAATACAACAGGTATATACGGCACACACACAATCTTCAGTATAAATTTTGTCAGGTTGGTTCAGAAGCTAATGCACGATCCCAATGTTTCTTCAAAGTCGGACATCCTAGCTCAGAGTAAACTTCACTAATGGATACAGGAACCATTGAAGTGTATACAAATTGTCGATCGATGAAAAGAATGCTCGCGTGTCTTAGCTGTATAATGTCTCAACTTCTGAAGTCGATCAACTTACTGAGGGAACTTTTATCTCGACTTGGTCTCAGCTTTCCCTGTAGTGTCGAGATGCTTGGTGGGCACTCTATAAGCGAACAGTTTGGCGAAATGCGACATATATAAACGCCTTAACGCTAGGGACGCTTTGCTCGTCTATCCCCCAGTCCATCTGTTGGCTTTATTCTTCACCACAAGCAGTAGTAGCGATACTGTTCATCACGAGCACGGTGCTGGTTCAATCCTTCCGTAGGCCCCTCATCCTCCGGGCTCGGGAAATTGGTACCAGACTTGTCCAAGAAAAAATCATTCCGTGCAATCGTTCCTGGTAGCGTTCCAGCCCGGCTATCCCAGAACTCCAGGGCGAATCGACTCAAACAGTATTCTACAAAATCCAGGATGAAATACAAATCCTCAAGCAGCATCCAAAGCCACATGTAAAGGTTGGAAGACCTTCATGGGTGATGTATGTGAGAAGAATCGAATGTGAGAAGTGATGGGATCCACATAGTGGATGTGAAACACGGCCCAAATAAAAATAAGTTATCCTTAAATGTTTCTTGAGCGTTGAGAAGCTTATCCCGAATTCTGTGGCAAATTTTCGAAGAGTTGTGCGTACATTTGCGTCCACCCAAGGCTTGAATTTCTAAGTCTCAACACGAGCATGTCCACGACCTTTCCCACGTTCAAAATTTAATTCGCCAGACGAAGCCTTCCGAACGAATGCTAGAATGCGCGTTTGTTAACATTTCTATGTTAACATTATATGAAGCGAAAGTACGTAGAACAAGTCTCGCGTTGATACATAATAGCAAAACATTCGAAGACAAAGCGCTGTCAAGATATACAGAAAGCAGAACCATAAACCGTGCATTGATTTCTGGACTGATAAAAACACTGTAAACGGACAGGCAACTTACAGAAATTGCAGCTGCACCCGTCTCTGGCTTAGCCTTGCTCTTAACCTCAGGCTTGGCAATCTTGGCAGCCGCCTCATGACTCGATTTTTCGGCCAAACGGAATCGCCCGGCCGCTCCAGTGCCACTTGCTTGAGTGAGGAGCCCGCTCCGCACCCCACGTTTCAAAGCGACTCGAAGTCGAGCATTTATCTAGAAGTTGATACACACAGTAATATTTTACAGAAATTGCGTCCTTACGACAACACTGAACGTTGAAGTTATTCCAAAACGGCAAAAACAATTGTGCCACGAACCTGTTTCTCACTTTCGCCAACTTTGTATTTCTGCACGATAAACTTCAATATGGCTCGCTTTGAAGCTCCTTTTCGATCTTTCAGCTCCTTGATGGCGGACTTGATCATGGTGCCGTAAACGGGGTGACTGGCAATCGTCCTTGCTTTCTTCTCTCCTTTCGGCTTCGTAACCTGCAGTTGAACGCTAACATCACGTAACACAACATCAAAAAAAAAGCTAGCAGTATGTGAAAATGCTAAGAAACCTTCGTCTTCTTCTTGGCCGCGGACGTGGACGTGGACGTCGTAGCAGGATCCGCAGCAGCTTCTGACATTGTCAACGAGAAGCAACGGTAGAAAGTACTTAGCTGCTTGCGCCGTCCACTAATATAGCAGGCTGGGTTCCCCCGTTGCGCCTCCGTCCTAAGGCCACGAAGTAGGCGCGATACGCACCACCTCGCTGTTAGTGGTTGTTGAAAAAATTTTAATAAAACGCTACTCGGTCAAAATTCATCGAGGAGTTTTACTTTGTTCGAAGCTAGAAGATTCGTTTTTTCGGATTATCTGTAAATTTTGTGCCATGGTCTTAAAATTTAGCACGAAAACATGCAGAGAACATTGCTCTTGCCGCAAATTGTTGAGTTGGACGTGTTTCATCAAAGACTTGATTCAAATTACTTCGAGTATCACCGATGTTGTGCTTATTTCTGAATATCAATGCACTGAACTCCATCATTAAAAAAGAGCACCTTCAAAATCCCAGTTGGCTTTAGCACTGCGATCATTTTTTCCGAACGAGAAAACAACACTGACGCAGTTCTTCCCATTCAAAACACAGTTTACCTGCTACACTTTGCAAGAAGTTTGGTATCAGAAGAAAGGGGTTTTTACGTTTTATCAGATTCCACGATAGTTTGTGATTAAACTACATGATTAATGGGGAATTATCACTCAAGCAGTACTATTACTTGGCCGCCGCGACGCGGCAGTTGGTGCGACCGCGGTTGGAAAACAAGTCAAAGGGCCGTTTCCTGGCCTTCTATTTAAGTTCTTACACCAATTTTTTTACTTTGATAGAAACTTATCAATCTTTAGGCTTCTTAGATAGATTCCACGTAATCGACAAAGTTGTTGATGACCATAGAAATATGGATTGAAATGCAAGTATTGATTGGAAACTTCTTTAAGCACACCATCCAAATGTTGAATTGATTGCGCAAGGGTGATATGCTTGTTTGTGGATTCCATAAGATGACCGCTTTCAGATGGCTTGTCAAAACTTCTGAAGAACTGTTCAGTTTTCACAAACGTTTTTCACTTATTGAGCAGTTGCGTGCCGTCGCACATTCCAAGGTATTCAACGGAACATTGAAAAATTACCAGCTGTTGCAAAATTTGGATCGTTTTCTAAATTTCTGTGGGATTTCTTTTGTCCAAATGAGATAAATTATGTACTGTATCCGATGGGAATTATTTGGTGGGATTTGACAGGTTCAACGAATTATCCGGTGATCTAGCCTGACCCGACATCGGTCGTTGGGGAGCAAGCGCTATCGTGCCGTATCACTGCTACAAGCTGATCGATGTTTGAAACCAAATAAGTTGTCTTTTAAGTGCCAGATTTCTCTCGTACCACTCAGGATGGCGCCAGAGGTTGTTTTCTTTGCGAGATCTCGCCTTTGAAGTAGAGTCCGGTTTGTGAACAAATGAAAAGAATTCTAATTCCATCATAAAATCGACTGCATATGGGATAGGAAAAAGTGATTTTTTGTTGGTTTATACCTACAACTTTCATTATTAGTCCAGCCACAAGAAAATTTCACCGCTAAAAGCTGAGATGGCATTCGGCTTCGGTCAGTTGACCGAGAAGTGCCGTTATTCAGATCTACATTTCTATCGGGAGGCCCAGCCTAGTTCAAGATATGCCAGGAATCGTCACAGTCTAGGAACGGTCTTAAGAAAAATCTTGCATCAAGGCTATGCTCCTTCTGAACATCCATTTGGTCCATGTTTGTGGTGAAAACCTGGAAATTCTACTGCATACTAATTCCACAAAAACCTGTCCAACTAGTAGAATGTCGGCGGATTTCGCCTTCCTCAGTTTACGAACCAACTGGCGCCTAAGACTATTCGGTGGTATTTCAACTACGTTTACCGAATTCTCTAGACCCGCCCTTCTTAAGCAGCGTTTTATAGCTGAGCTTACTTCATTCGAGATGAAGGGCAGTATAAACGGGCCCTTATTGTCGCTAGAGCTATCGTTGGGGTACCTGTGGTGTCCTCTACACCTATTTCGAGCTACAGATTCGTAGCCATTAGAAATGGCTATTTGCCGCGCCAAGTTTCGAGGCTCCTCTCTCTGCTCTCTTCCCATGCACATGTTGGTTGCCGTTCGAAACATGTTTCTTACAAGCGCCCTTTTCGTGTGAGAGGGATGAGAGGGGAGATACTCAACCAAGATGTTTCTACTACTTGGTTTTCGGTACCACTTCATAATATAGCCATTTTCTGGCAGGTTAATTTGGACGTTCAGAAACAGAAGCCAGATTTCTTTCGGTTTCTCTCGGATGAGCTTGATGTACTCTGACTGTTTATTCAACAACTCGAAACATTTGTCCATTTCTTCCTATGTTCAGCAAAGAATAAAACAGTAATCTATATATCTACAGTAGAGTAGCGGCCCAAGATCAATCACCGGTGCTTCCACCTTAGACATAAACGCAATGGCAAGGCTTGGTGCCACTCCATGTCCCATTGCCAATTCTCTTTTTTGAGCGTAGTACTTTCCAAACCATCTGAAGATTGAACAGCTCAAGCATTCTTTTAGGAGTGCCATCAAGTGCTCTATCTTGAAGCCACACATGTTTATTTCTCCTTCGTGTTGTGCAAGAAGTTCGAATATGGCTTGCATTGCGGAGTCATTCGACACGTTTGTATAAAGGGCGGTAACGTCGACGGACTCCACCACGTACGCGCTGCTGGGCTGCGCAGTACGTAGACGATCCAGAAACATCTGGGTATTCGTAAGATGGGCAGGAATGTGTTTCAACAACTGGTTAAATATTAGGGCTAAAAACCATGTTATCCTGTCCGTTGGTCCGTCTACGCAACTAATGATAGCTCTAACCTTAAATAGTGATGGATCGTTAGACGCAAGACGATACTAACTTATGAGTTTTTATAAGCAAGTACAAGACGGGACATGTTGGTAAGTCAATTTTTAGTTGAGAGATAACTGATGGTTTTAAACCAGCAGTCCTTGCCATTTTGGCCCATTCGTGGTTCAATTTTCGGTATTTACTTTTGAATTCCTCCTCAGGTGATGGGCGATAAAGCGAAGCATCTTCAAGAAGCTTTTTCGTTATCTCAACATCTAACTGATGGTGAATTACGACAAACTCTCCACCCTTATCACTAACGGATATTCTTATGTTTTTCAATCTTATCGGCTCTCGTACCTTCCGCATACCACGCTTTTGTATTTCAGTGAAGTTGGAGCAGTATCTCTTGGCGCGATAGTGATTAAGGACTTTGAAAGTTTCATTCGTAAACGTCCGAAATTCCATGTCAACTTCATTATTGGGCTCTTGTTGTCTAAAGAACGTCGGGAGAAATGGTGCTATTGGTAGGGCCCCCTCTTGCTGTTGTTCGCACCTATTTAGCGCTTCATCTCTAGCTTTTTTGCGGAGTCTATCTTGAAGTTCATGTAAACCACATGCGACCCTACGCAAGGTTATCTTAGAAATGGGTTCAGATGGTGAGAAACTCGGCCCCAATTCTAATAACGAGCGCGCACCGTCAGGGAGAGTTATGCCTCATAATTCGGTTAGCCTTGAATTTTCTTGCACATTACCTATCCTATTGTGATGTTCCTTAGCGTTATTTTTGTGCGCTATTGAAGCTGTGTTATGTGATTTACTCAAGAGGCCTTCGAATTTTCTTCGCAAAGCTACTTTAGCATTAGACCTAATAGAGTTGCAAATCAACACTGACCTGCCCACTATTCTCCTCCAGAGGCGGTCCTCCAATTACTGAGCACAAAAGCTTTCCTTCCTCTCGCACTTCTTCCACTTGGCGAACATCTGCTTTTGTCGGCTTAGTAGACAGGTGCGTAGTACCCGCAATTCGATGTCTAGTACTCGGTGACGGTCCTCTGGTAGTCCGCATGCATCGTGTAGCCGCCCTCGTTTGATGAAATTTTGGGACGACTCGTTGTTTTAGACAGCGGCGGAGAAAGTGTATTGACTGTCGAGCTAAGACGATCTTTTGTCTCAGTGACAGCGCTTCTTTTACAAGTCGGAAATATCGAGGTGGTACGTTTCGTAATAAAAAAAAACGTAAACCAAATACCCCACTAGGCACGCATAGGACCCAGAGACCTAACAGGGAGGACTTTGAAGTACGTGTCACGATCCTCGCATAGGAATTGAGAACACACGCACGCAAAACTCTCGTGGCGTTCTGGATTAATTCCAGAAATCCGAAAATGAACCGCAGGGAAGAATGCCTCATTATCACGCGTGATATTGGGCAGTATATAAGCCTGTTTTTCTGATAGGAATGGCACATTACGCTTCCATGTGAATTCTGTGCCGCTGGTCTCCACGCGACATAGTGGAAAGCGGTGAGTGTACGAAGAAGCTATTCTTTGTGTCCTTGATATGCGCGAGAGGAAAATCTTCGTGAAGAGCTTGTTGAGTACACTCAACAACCATACAGGGCGATAGTTGCGAAGATCCCTTCGGTCTCCTTTCTTGGCGAGGATGACCGTGCGCGACGCCCTCCACTGGTCTGGAATTTTCTCCTTTTGAAAGTAGGCTGCCGTATGATTTGCGAGAACTACATGTAAATTGCGGCTTTCAGCTCTAAAAAAGTCGCCGGGAATATTATCGGGTTCTGGAACTGTGCCTCTTTTCATGATTTCTATCACAATTCGAACATCCGACGGAAGAATTGCAGGTAGTTTTTCTCCAGCGGGAATAGTAGGGTCCGGGAGAGGGATTGTGGAGCGGACAGTACCCGACAACAAATTTATGATATGCTCTCTCATTGCGGATGACTTGCTCGAACTGATAATAGAATGCATTTAATTCGTATTCATCAGCTGCGTTGGTGGGTGAGTAGCAGTTGATGATAGTGATCTTCTTATGATACAACAGTTGAAGACGGAGGACGACTATAGGATAGAAAAGATCTCGTATTAGTCGACGAGATGGACAATGGACGGATGGATGACAAAGCCTACGCCGCCGATATTTCATGACGGGATCTTTTCTACACGGATCACAACGGTCCCGTTGCTTAGTTGGCGTATATCGGTCTTCTTGATTTTTGTTTCTTGTAATGCCATCACATGAAATTTAAAGTGGCTACAAGAAGGGCGTGAAGATCGGCGTCTGTGGAGAGTAACTCACAAGTCCGACTTTCTATTTACCTCGGCATTGATTGAATAATTCTTTGTACTTCTGTTCAGCAAACACGAGGTGTTATTTTAGTTCTTTATTTACGTACAAGCTGACGTTTCGGCGGATTTCGCCTTCCTTAGAGCCTGGAAAGGTCAAGTTGACAGCAATCTATTCGGCCAAACGCCTCCATAACCAAACAGAGAAAACGCTAAACCAAGATTTCATTCACATTTAGCATAGCTCTGCGCACTCACCGCTTTCCATGAGTCTTCCACTAAAAGTATCACGTGGAGACCAACCGCACAAGGTTCACACGGAATCGTATTGTGCCCATCTCATCAAAATAACAGGCATATACTGCCCAATATCAAGCATGATAATGAGGCATTCCTCCCTGCTGTTCATTTTCGGATTCTTGGAATTAATCCAGAATACCTCTAAAGTTTTGCGCGCTTGTGTTCTCGATTCTAGCGGTTGGATCGTAGCCTCTATTTCAAAAACTTCTCCGTTATGTCTCTGCGTTCTGTGCGTGTCTAGTGGAGTATTTGGTTTACGTTTGCCGACTAGGTGCTCTTTTATACGCACGCAGAGTGGTCTACCATTGTCGCCAATGTATTCGTCCTCGCACGTTTTACAAGAGATCAGATAGACTGTACTCGAACTCATGCAGTCACCGTCTCTACCATTAGGGCAAATTATGCAATTTTCCGTTGCACATAGACGATCGTATAGACTGTTACGAACTAGCTGGCTTCTTAGATTACTCTCTGTGGTATTTCAATTATCGTTACCGAATTCCCTTGGCTGTCACTTCTTAAACAGTGCTTTATAGCTGCACTTACTTCATCTGAAATAAAGAGTAGGATAAACAGGACCTTATTGCCGCTAAAGCTATCGTTGGGGAGCCTTTCGCTCACTGCTCCTGATAGATGTCAACTTTAGGAGAGGTATCCCATACCGTCTTCACATAGGGTGCGAAGGACCACGTTTCCGAGTAATCTGAGATTTGGTGTCCTTTAAGAGCTTCTCTCATTGAAGACTATCAACTTCTATGAGATGCTGAGATATTTGCAAAACTCCGGACCACAGGTGTATGTACT